AACTCCGTGCTGCGTGCACGGCCGTATCGAGCAGCTCCTGGGAAGGACAGGTGCTGCGTTTGAGTAGTACCCCTACGCTGCCGTACGCCCGCCTACGCTTACCTCAAGTGCAGGTCCATACGTGTGTGGGTGTCCCGGCTCGTACGCAGACAGGATCTATCCTGTTAGCATATGAGTACGCTCTCCCGCATGGACGTGCACGGCAGGTGAGCGTAGGGGGCATACGGCCGCACAGCCCCATAGAGAAGATGGGGGCTGCGTACTAATCACACGCAGCACCTGTCCTTCCCGGGAGCTGCCCAATGAGGCCGTGCACGCAGCACGGAGTTGTACGCGCCGGCTGATGCCAGTGTAAATGAGGGCTAAAGATGGTGGTGTTCGTAGTAACAACACAGATTTCGCTGTGCAAAATTCCAAAGTGAAGATAGACTTATCACCAGCACACGCGTAGTATACATTTGAATCTTGGTTCAATTTATGAAATCGTCACATTGTGTAAATGTTTTGGAGCCACGCAGGGTCCCTTCTTCAGGACGTCATTACGTCACCTTGAAGAAGGGACCCTGCGTGGCTCCAAAACATTGATGTATATGAATGTTGCAGAATGGCCTCAAACAAGATTTTCTACAACATGGAGGAGGTCTCATTTACCTCCACTATTCTAATCACCAATATGGCGGTATTTCTTAATGAATTTATCGCAGCCATTGCGCCAGAATATAAAAGCATAGCACATAAGAAATACCACAAACGGCAAGAAAACCGTTGCACGTGTAGCACCCTCCTTACCACCCAGAGGCCTGAGGTGGACCCCCCAAAGGGTTGGGAGGGCCGAAATTTAATTCTCAGGGGCAGATCCTTGCCTGTGAAGGGATGCGTGATTGCCAAATTGGACGCCAGTCACTTTAGGCGCCTATTTTAAATGCTTTATTGCAGAACATTAAACTGGGAGAGAGGGTATAGGGCTTCAGACATCCATAGCAAAAATAGGACAGGCCCCAGACTCGCCAATCTGTTCAGACTTTCACATTGCAGAATTATTAAGAGAACAGACTGACACTGGGCAATAGAGCAACAGCTGAATAGGGATGTGCATGAGATCTTCCATGGGAGAGATACCAGACTGGTTCCTGAGATCCATATATAAGCTCCTGGTACCTTCAGTAGTCATAGGGCTCCTCTGGTTCTCCACCCAGATAGTTTCAGACCCCACCTGGGTTCACATGTGGTCTCCTCCAGGCTTGAGGCCTAGTCAGTTTCTTTACACTGTACATGCCACCCCAGGCCAAGCCCAAGGGCGGCCTGCCCTAGCACATGGGAATTCCTAAGTATTTATGCACTTCTCCAGCATGCACCACTGGCCATGAAACTCCTAGTGATTGGCTGGAGAGGCATAGACACTCCTGAAGTTCCCTCATTGGCTGCCCGACTCTGTGGCATGTCACACCCCACTCAAGCAGGTACAATCAACAGCAGAACACCTAGAATTAACCAGATAACAGCAAACTACAAATCAGCTAGACTGATTACAGTACTAGCAAAGCTAAATTTCTAGTAGCCACTCCACTGAAGGTGGCCGGGGCTACACATGGCACATTTGGCACAGGACTTTCTAATACAGGCATAACACCAGAAAAAAAGTGTCCCAAATACTTTTGTGAAATTAGCTCAAAATATACAAAACCTCTGTACTTTCCTTTTAATGTTATTTCTTTATCAAGTGATATAAAAAAACGATATTTAGGGATTTTATGGAAGTGGCATATACCACAATATCACCTAATCCCTCACACACCAGTAAGCAAGGCTGAGATGTTGTTCTCGCTCAGTATTGATGTACATGGTGCCTGTCCAGCCACTTGTGAATCAACATGGGAAACCTAAAACCTACAATAACAGAAGGATGGCCTTTATATAAACCTAGGAAAACAATGCTCTCGGCCAGGGAACTCGCCTCTCCGGGTCTCCCGCTGGGGCAGAGGAAGTCCTGTAGGTTATCGGTTGGTATGTGAGTGGGGGTGTGCGTGGCATATCGTGTGCCCGGGACATTCACAGAAAAATAGATGTAACAAAAGTTCATTTTCCAACCATCAATATTTAGACAGATGTATTTGGTTGCAGCAAACAAGCGCTGATAGAACACTGTGTTATTATCAAGGAATGCATGTACAGAAACACGCCAGTAAATGACACATTTAAATGAGGGATGGACCGGAGCCAGATTGTTTTTTTTTTTCCTGCCGAAGACAGCTCTACTGACAACAACTTGAGAAAACATCAAAATGTGGGCACCAGCTGTCATTTTTAAGAAGCATTGGCCCTTATTTAAAGTGAACCTGTCACTAGAGCAGGAGTGGGCAACTCCAGCCCTCCAGCTGTGCTTTAACTAGTGGCGTCACAAGAGGGTGCGGGGGGTGCTGTCACCATTGAAGGGGTGACACCAAAATGACTGAAAGTCATTTTGGTGTCACCACCTCAGAAAAGAGGGGGTGACACCTCATGCTGCCGGGTGAACATCCCCTCCTCTCTCTGCCGACATCCATCACCAAGATGGCCGTCGGCAGGTGTCAATTAGATGGTCGTGCATGCGCGATGATATCATCGCGCACACGCATGGTGACGTCATGCACATACACGATGACACCCGCCCGCGGGACGTCCCTGGGGGTCCATACACTTTTTAGCTGCCTGAAGCCGGGGGGGGGGGGGGGGTGTGCGGCGGGGAAAAAAATGCACCCCTAGCTTCAGCTCTCTCCCACATTCTGCCCAGCTCACTGATGTCACTGGTTACCAGCCAGAAGCTGAGCAAGAGATTTTTTATTTTTAAGACAACACGCAATAGAGAATTCATAAAAACAACAGTAATACAAATGTATGTACTCTACAGCAAGAAAAGACACCTGTTTGAATTTAGATAATGTTTAAATGTGTCACAGTGATAAAAGCACAAGAAAAGTTTCAACAAAAACTGATCAAACGGCCTGAAAACAATGGAACTCGATGGACTTAAAGGAGAACTATGAGGTGAGTGCTTTTCACTCACCTCATAGTTCTAGCCGACCTGTGACAATGAGACTGTCACAGGTCGGCTCAGTAGATCGGGAGGTGAGCGAACACATACCGGCGTTCGCTCACCTCTCGATCCTGTCACGGCTCTCTGCCGTGACCGGGGAGGGGGTGGATTTCCCTCTCCCCGCTCTGATCCGCCAGCGCTGATTGGAGGATCGGACGGGGGAGGGGGCGGGTACAGCTGGCTCTGCCTCTAGATAGGCAGAGCCAGCTGTCACTCACGCAGCTGGGCGGATCCAGACATAATTGTCGGAATCTGCTTCAGCTGCGGCGTCTCAGTATACCGCGAGCAGTAGCGAGCAGTATACTGAGCTTAGTGTGACGGGTTTGTGTCCTCCCGTTACAATAAGGAGAACTATGGGGAAAAGTCTTAACCCCATAGTTCTCCTTTAAGTCTTTTTTCAACCTGACTAACTATGTAACTATGCAACAGCCCACAAAACAGACTGGACCTCATTCAATTTAAAGTATTGTATTCTGGTAACTGCATGTGGTTAACACCTGTAATGATAGTATTGAGTAGATGGATTCCTTTTTGTTTCACATGCCTTTATTTATAATTTCCTCCAGTTACAAGGGTTGGGGCAGACCATATTTCATTAGAGGGGGTACTTCCAACGTTCAACTTTTATTCATGTCGTTAAAACCTTTTCCAAAAGCAAAAAATAAATATTGCTGTAATTGCGTAAAAGTGTTAGCTGAAGTTGGGTTTTATTTCTGTGTTGCTGACTTAAAGTATTATTAAACGACACTTAAACATTTTTCAATAATGAATCCAGCAGATCAAACAAATATACATGCCCAGCAAAGTACAGTCTCTCTCTCTCTCTCTCTCTGTACTCGTATTCGGTACCAAAATACCGGTATCGGTGCATCCCTAGTTTGTGGAGACACGCACAGCTTACTAGCACACACAAGGGTGGCTCCATAGGACCCTGCAGGGGAAAGGAGCCACAATAAAACAGGATATCAGGACCAGTGCTCAGGGGAGCAGCTTCTTCGGCAGGAAAATAACACTTTTAAACATCAAGGAGCAGCATCCATTGTATCTGATTTCATCAGCATTTGGAAAAGCTTAAGAACCTTTTGACTTTAATATCACTTTAAGTAACTAGAGTACTTTGTAGCCATTATAGCAGGATACATGGTTTTATCAATTGTGAATTCCAAGGTGTTGCATTTGAAATCACTTGCCGTTTACTCTATTAACAGCCCATGCCGGGCCAGCAGGGGAATGTCTTTTGACTTTATTATTATACAGGATTTATATAGCGCCAACAGTTTGCACAGCGCTCTAATATCACTTTAAAGTCCATTTGAAATGACACTGGATATAGGGTGACAACGCTGCTGTTTGAATTCACAACAACGTGAACAGCATCCTATTAAAGAAAGTGGAGAAATAACAGTTTTCTGGCATCATGTGATAAAACTATGATACAGGGGGGACTCAGGAAAACAAAAACTGCTGTTTTAATACTATTGATAGACCATATTATATATGTAATTTTAAAATGTTTTTCATTGTTCCACTTTAAGTTATTAAAATGTCTAGGGGAGAAAGACAAAGAGTACAAGTGCAGTGGCTCAGTGGTTAGCACTTCTACCTTGCAACACTGGGGTCCTCGGTTTGAATCCTGCTCATGGCACTATATGCATGCATTTTGCATGTTCTCCCGGTGCTTGTGTGGGTTTCCTCCCACACTCCAAAAACATGCTGGAAGGCTATTTGGTCCTCTATGCATGCATGTGAGATTGGGACCTTGGATTGTAAGCTACTTGAGGGCAGGGACTGATGTGAAGGTACACTATGTAAAGCACGGTGTAAAATTGTCGGTGCTATATACATGCCTGTAATAAGCAAAAGGGGCTACAAGCAACCCACCAGCCTGGCTTGCCTTCATCTACTCGTACTTCTTGTCTTCTCTTACCTTTCGGTCCAGGTAATATGGTGTGCGTTGAACAGGTATCCGATCGGTTTTCAGCCTCAGAGGCACCAATGTTGGGCAGGAAGAACAATGACAAGACAACGTAGAAGCCGAGTTGAGCGCCGATCCCTCGAATCATGTTCATAGGGAGCAGGAGACCAGTCTTGGACGTCCGAGTGTCCGGGGACTATTTGTAAGAAAGACGTGTCATTAGTGTTCAGTAATTGGTATTTTGTGTTTTATCATAGAGGTCTCTGCTCTGTGTCAGGAATATTTATCCTATGCTGACAGATGTTTATGTTCATTTATCTCTGAATGGTGGGGCCTTCTATGGCTAGATCCATGAGAGAAAACACTGACCATGACTCGGGCTACAAAAAAAATATATAATAATGCAAATTCCAAAAAGACTTCTTTTTAAAAAGTAGCACACCCCTTTGGCTCATTGCGTTCTATAATACGCATGAGGTACAAAAACATTAAGGGCTTGTTCACACCATTTTCTGGTCCAGATCTGGTGCAGATCTGCAGACGCGGTGCTATGAGTGCAGCGCGTTTTTTACACGTTTTCAACGCGTTACGGACGCATTCCAGTTCCTTTTTTTTGTGGAGTGGGGCAGTCAGCTGTTAACTGCAATGCGGTGCATTTTCGTTGAGTTTTGGACGCGTTCGTGCGTTTCCTGACCGGAGAAAATGTGACATGCAGTATTTTTTCTGTCCGGACCTAAACGGACTGCCCTGGTGAGACCTGGAGCCCATAAAACAAATAGGGATACATTGTGATGCATTTTTAGTGCAGGAGCTAACTGTTCTGGTCCGGACAAAATCCGGACGTTGTGTGAACAAGCCCTTAGGGCCCATTCAGACCTATCGGTTCCATTGTGATGCAATAATGGAACAAGAGATAGCAGTAAAAAACCAACAGGAGTTCTAATCCTTCCCCACTCTATCCAAAACCTGAATAAAAAAAGTTTTGACTGGACATGCACATTAATGTTCATGTATAATTTGTTATTACATTGGTATATGAGAGCGGACATATTTGTCTGTTACATATGCACGCCCTTCTTCCTGCTTAGGAGTGATGCTTAGTAACTATAGGTCACAGACTTCTCATTCAGTGGAAGTCTACCAGCTCAAACTGACTGATAAAAAAATAAAGCACTTTTTGTGGGCGATCACTTTTTGTAGCAGAGCCATTTTAAATCCAAAATGAAGCATGATCTGTGAAGAAAAACAAAAAAGTGACACCTTGCACTAAGTCAGAATTTACTTGTGGATTTAATGTCTGGCTTTTGGCACTACAGGTCACACAATGCTTCCTGGAGTGCCAGATGCCAGCATCCCACGCCACTCAACAAATCCTGTAGTTTTGCCGCCTGAGGCAGGGGGAAGCTGGTGGTACATTCAGTGGGGGGAAAGGAAGCAGAAAGGAGTGCTGGTTGCTGTTAGCAACCTGGCATCCCGTCCAGCTTCAGGCGAAACCGCTGACGTCACTGGTTTCCAGGAGCTGGGCAGGTACACCAGCCAGAGCATCCCAGGTGTATAAAAGCTGGGTGGGGAGATGTGTATGGCCCTTGCTGGGTGGGGAGATGTGTATGACCCTTCCTGAGCGGGTATATGTGTATGGCCCTTGCTGGGCGGGGAGATGTGTATGACCCTTCCTGAGCGGGGACATAGGGGTGATTGCCCCTATGTGGGCGTGGAGATGTGTATGACCCTTCCTGAGCTGGGATATGTGTATGGCCCTTGCTGGGTGGGGAGATGTGCATGGCACTTGCTGGGCGGGGAGATGTGTATGGCCCTTGCTGGGTGGGGAGATGTGCATGGCACTTGCTGGGCGGGGAGATGTGTATGGCCCTTGCTGGGTGGGGAGATGTGCATGGCACTTGCTGGGCGGGGAGATGTGTATGGCCCTTGCTGGGTGTATGGCCCTTGCTGGGTGGGGAGACGTGTATGGCCCTTGCTTGGTGGGGAGATGTGTATGGCCCTTGCTGGGCGGGGAAATGTGTATGGCCCTTGCCGGGTGGGGAGATGTGTATGGCCCTTGCTGGGTGGGGAGATGTGTATGGCCCTTGCTGGGTGGGGAAATGTGTATGACCCTTCCTGAGCGGGGATATGGCCCTTGCTGGGTGGGGAGATGTGTATGGCCCTTGCTGGGCGGGAAGATGTGTATGGCCCTTGCTGGGCGAGGAGATGTGTATGGTGCTTGCCGGGTGGGAAGATGTGTATGGCCCTCTCTCTGCCCGGCTCTTGGCAACCTGGAATGCTCGGGCAGGAGTCACACCTTTATATTACCATTACACCAACATAACATTGCTGAACCTAGACCTGAACAACTGAAGCGACCCCATATCATAACACTGCCTGAAATACACGTGGTGACTTTTTTGGGGGGCCAATCAGTGTATTTAGAAGCAATTGAAATGCAGTATGATTTTGACTTGCTTTGATTTGCTTTTAAGTTGCTTCAAGCAACTTTTACATTGACTTGTATGGAAAAGAAAGGCATTTTAGATGCAAACAAGTATTTAAAACCCTTACATAAAAGTGTGACATGTTACTGAAGGTGCGATCCAGAGTTTCCCATTCATCCAATGTATCGCAAACACTTCCTTATAGACTGGAACTTTGTAATAGGAGAGATTACACAATAAAACATTCCAGCCGTCAGGACATCCTGATATGTCTGTATATATAAACATGCAAACATTCCCCGGAGTCTGCCCTGCATGTTCTACTTATCATGGGAATTCACACGACTTTTTTGGGCTTTTGGGGAAATAGAGTACTTTACTAATACTTACTAACAAACATCCCCATCCACTGTTATACTGCAAAACAAACAAATACAAAGATCAATCTAATAAACCAAAAGGAAGGCAATACACCAGTCAAACATGACAGTTGTACAAATAAAGCAGGGGTCGGCAACCTCGTCACTCCAGCTGTTCTGGAACTACAAGCCCATTGAGGCACTGTCAGCCACAGAGGCAGAAGCATGATGGAATTTGTAGTTTCACCACAGCTGGAGTGCCAAGGTTGCTTATACCTGAAATAAAGTGTATAATAATAATAATAATAATAATAATAATAATAATAATTCCAGAGGATGTCCAGTGGTTTATGTTTCTGTCTTGGCCTATTGTTTCTCCACCGCCACCTTCTAAGCTTCGTGGGCAATATTAACCACTTGCTGGCAAACCTCATTTGCAGTACATAGGCTTCAACAACTCTTCTGATCTGGTCCTTTGTAACTTTGGTCGGGCTATGTGCACTTCAATAAAGTTCAAGCTGCAGAGAGCAAATGCTCGGGAAAGAAGAACATGATTGTAGAGAAGGACATGGTTTCTCAATTCCAGTCCCCAAGTGCCGCCATTAAGTCATGAGGATCTCGTTGATAGGATTTCCTTGACTTGTACCGGTGATTAAATGAGTATTTATGGCTTCTAGATTGCCACAGCTATTTCCTAAACAGGAGGGATGATTAAGGGTACGTTCACACCAGATGCAGTGCGCTCCGGTCCGATTCTGGCCGGAACGCACTGCATCGCATTGCGGCCGGCTCACTTTTTTGTGGGGCAGGAGGGCCGTGGCGGGCCATTGAAGTGAATGGCACCGTAGCCACACCCTCCGGCTGCAATGCGATCGCCCGCACGGCATCGCAAGGCACATTGTGCCTGCGGTCCGGTGCAATCAAAATGCAGCATTTTGATTGCACCGGACCACACCACAGGCACAATGTGCCTTGTGATCCCATGCAGGCGATCGCATTGTGGCCGGAGGGTGTGGCTACGGTGCCATTGATGGCCACACCCAAAATTGGCCATAGGCAACGCTTTGAAAGCTTTTACCGCTCATCAGTTTAGTGTTATCAGTGATTGATGGCCCTAAAATTATTGCTCTCACTCTGACGTTCACGACGATATGCAACATGTGTTGCGCAATAGTCATTTTCGCACGCTGGTGCATCAAACGCGTATTTACGTTTTATTTGTGTGTAAACGTGGGGGTGGGAGACGTAAAAATTTGGGGGTTTTTAAAACTTTTTTTTATATGTGTCATTTATTTTTTTTAACTTTTTTTAAAAAATTTTTTACACTTATTGTTATTTCTATCACATAGGGGGATAACAATCCCCCTATATAATAGCAAACACACACTGACAGGTCCTCTTTATGGAGACATTATGGGTCTCTAGGACCCATAATGTCACCTGGGGACCCAAAAGAAGCTGATGAAGCAGAGATCTGCTTCATGAGCTTTTTCTCTCTGGCTATAGCAGCCAGATGACTGACAGGTGAATGCGGAAGTGATGTATTACAAGGAGGAAGATGCTGAGCTCCCTCCCATCTTACCTCCTGACGCCCTCCCGAGCCAGTCCAGGGACGCAGATGGGCTAGCGGATCCCGAGATTGAAGGTAAGGGGTCAGGAGGGGGGGGGCGGCACTCGAGGGGGGCATGCAGCCAGATAGGAAATAAATACGATCGGCAGACTATAGAGCCGCCGATCGTATGTATATCAAACAGCCGGTAACGGCTGTAAAGAACGGGCGGGGCTTTTCTGCCCGTGCGCGCGTGCAGAAGAAAAAGGCATCTGATGACGGCAACCCGCCCGTGTGAGTCTGCCGTCCGTCCGTTTTTTCACAACGGGCGGACGGCAGGAGGTTACGTGATGTTAAAATCACTGCTCCTTTAAAAACAGTATTGTTTTAAAGTTTTTTTTCCATTGATACATGTCTCCTAGGGCAGTACCCGAATCCCCATACACTTTTTATGGCCAAAACATTGCATATAGGGCTTCAAAATGGTCAAAGTTCTACCCCCATAGACTTGCATTGAGTTCGAGTTCACTAATCATGGTGCATACAAGACTAGCCTTACTTTGTATCATTGGAATCTACCAACCTCTATAGCCAACCTGTATGGCCAACCCAGGTTGGCTTTGGAGTTCTTCTTAAATTCTAGGTACATGGTGTAATCAGTTGGGTCATTTGTTTTTGTGCTGTGTAGGATCAGATGTTTCCGAGTGATTATTGTCAAATTATACCCATCTATAATAATACCTGCCCTGTATAATTTATGCCGTTCTAAATAACTCTAGCTGTGTAGGTCTGCTTAGTCATTTGACTAGAAAGCATCTGAATCCACATAAATAGAGATCAAAGTGGCAGCGCTTTCCACTCCATTCAGAGCAGTGACTCATCTATCCGAGTGCATGAGTTTATGTCATTAAACATAGCAATACCTAAATACGGTCTTGCACAAAGATGATGACATCATAATGAGATACATTAAAGTATAATTTATATATCGGGGAATAAATACATGCCAACTTCAAAAAGACTCTTTTTAGCAACAATTCATTGTTTACCAAATTTACCAAAATTCTAGTGTTTCAAGATTTCCTTTTCAATTAAAGTAAACTATCACCCTAATTTATGACACTCGGTATATACATAACATTGGCATGACATATTTCTTTGTGTATGTCAAATAGTGGATTTACAGGAATATTTATTACATGGAGCTAAATATGTTTTATATATATATATGTATATATAGCATATTTATATTATATATAAATAAATGCCCTATATTCTCTGTATGAGTTATTCAGCTAAATAAAATATGGGATGTCATTCTTTATAAATGTAGCGAGACGTATTGCATCATTTTCTTTAGAAAGGTTAAAGCCAACTTATGTTCGGCCAATACAGGGCAAGGCAACAGGTTTAGGGCCCGTGTCAGTGGGATTTAGGCTTGTGTTGATGGCACCATTTTGACATCATTTAGAGCCATTTCTGAAATTTACTGGCAGGTGTATTTGACCTGCAGTTGATCCACTTCTGATGTGCATGTGTCCTACTTTAAGAGGGTTTTGCATTCTAGACTTGTATGGGCCATTACCTTGTTGCTGTCCACTAATACCCCTCCCCCCTTTACGCTCCTCCTTCTCTACACTCACCTAACTAAACATGCTCCTGTCTAAATTGGCCCTGTATGGAAGATTGGGACCTTAGAATGAAAGCTCCTTGAGGTCAGGGACTGATGTGAATGTGCAACTACGTAAAACGCTGCATAAAATTGTTGGCGCCCTATAAATACCTGCAATAAATAAAAAATGTGAAGATCCCAATTTCTCTGGGTATAATGGAGCAAGTGAATCCCTCTCCTTCTTTCCCAAATGCAGCACTGAGTGACTGAGCAGGCAGTCATGAGGCTGAGTGATGTCATGTTGGGTTAGGGAGATAGTCATTAGTCCTGTGTGATCTACAAGAATGAGAAATCTGCATGAATGAATGAATTAATGAAGACTACAAAACACTGATGGACTCTAAACCTACAGCCCCTGCACACAATCCAGGTCAGGTCAGTGAACCTCTTGATTTGCCCTGCGTGGACAAAGTTCACTTTATTGACAGTATCATATTTACCGTACTTAAAGCCTAAACTGCTAAACAACATACAGTATACATTACAAAGTGTTCACTTTTGCACCATTTGCACATAAGGCCGAAAGAAAGATTTTTATGAATTTAGCACTGCGACAGAAGAAAAGACTTGTAATGGTGTAACGTGCTGCTTGCCTCAAGGTGGCACAGTTGCGTTTGGTAGTTTTGAAGGCCTCTTTCCTATTGAACATAATACAGAACCCAAAAACCGCTTGTAACCGCTGATCTTATCTACAAACAAGTGCAGGTTTCGCTGACAAAACACTATTAGTTTCAATATGACACAAACTGAAATTGTCACATCTGTAACAAAGAGACAATCTGGCATCAGAGAAGGAAACTAAAACTTCTTTCAAGTGGGTAGGTACAGGAGCTAAGAAGTTAAGCTTTGCTTTTTCTTACGCGCTGTAGTAATAGTTGATGATCTTGGCTCAAAGAAACCAAAGCAATTTAGTGTTGACCACCGGAGGGAACTCCCTGAAAGCCTTACTAAATAAAGATGAAAGTGATGGCTGTCCACTGACGTGTTTACGATCTCCAGACTCTGGAAACATTGCTTAAAGCGGTCCAAAGTCCATTTTTTTTACCCTCAAAACTGTTATCCTCTGCTAGACAAAATCTAAAGAGGACTAGAAGTCAAAAGTGGATATTTGTTATCAAAGAGGGAACATCTAGAAACATTAGTTGCTCCAAAGCAGTACCCTCAGAAATCTATCTTTTGCCTGCAATTCCCCCTGAAAATAAGTGGTGCAATTTCTGTGCCAATTTCTGTACTTTGCAATGTAACACCAAGGTACTAAGGTACTGCTGCATCGCACTGCTAGTGTCACCAGATTTGTAGTTGGATTTGGTAATGTTCTTGTTGTTCTCTTTGCAGGAGAGGAAGCTGTACCTGAGGAGCTGCACTACAGGGACCTCCATGCTTCTTCATTCTTTCTCTGGATCTGTGCTTCCTCCACCTCTCCTACTACTTCTTGAATATCACCCCACCCAATATCAGATCAACAGCCATTAGGGGGGCAGCTCTGACATGAGAAAGCAAAGCCCTTCATCTACCAAGATGGCTGTCTCCACATAGGGACAGAACAAGGATTAGTAAGGGGATAATGGGAAAAGATCAGCTGCAGGGAGATAGTAGGCAATTTTTTGGACTAGACCCACCATGTGAACGATAACCACAATGCAATAGTGTGACTGGGCCCTAAGACTTTACTTGTATTACGAGCAGCTGCTGCCATTATTGGGCTGCTGCTCAACTTTGGGCAGCGCATTGTTAACATTTCACTGGTGTCATTAGATAACAGTGCTGGTTTGTTTACCTGCTAGCCTTGCTCTCACTATAAGCTTATTTCTGATTTCATTTGTTCCTCTTCAAAGTTGGCAGTAAGTTCCAGTCCCCTTAGTCTATTTCAAACATAGGCAACCTCGTCACTCCAGCTGTGGCAAGACACATCATCATCTTTCTATACTCTATGGGGTCTATTTTTCAAACAATTCGCAGAGCCACTAATCCTGCAAATCTCTGTGAGTGTTTGTTCTGTGCGAAAGGATGCACAAAACATTCTTATTATATTTTCTTTTTAAAGGAGAACTATGAGGTGAGTGCTTTTCACTCACTTCATAGTTCTAGCCGACCTGTGACAATGAGACTGTCACAGGTCGGCTCAGTAGATCGGGAGGTGAGCGAACATATACCGGCGTTCGCTCACCTCTCGATCCTGTCACGGCTCTCTGCCGTGACAGGGGAGGGGCTGGATTCCCCCCTCCCCGCTCCGATCCGCCAGCGCTGACTGGCGGAATGGACGGGGGAGGGGGCGGGTACGGCTGGCTCTGCCTCTAGATAGGCAGAGCCAGCTGTCACTCACGCAGCTGGGCGGATCTCGACATCGATGTCGGGATCTGCTCCGGCTGCGGCGTCTCAGTATACTGAGCTTAGGGTAACGGGAGGACGCTAGTTTGTGTCCTCCCGTTAGCCTAAGGAGAACCTAAGGAGAACTATGGGGAAAAGCCCTGACCCCATAGTTCTCCTTTAAGTCAAATGTATTTTCGAAATTAATTTTGTAATACTGCAATATGGCACTAGATGGTGCTGAGGAGCATAGGATATAAATACTTTTTCCTATGCTTCTCAGCTACATCTAGTGGCCATAATAAGGTATTACACGATGACATTCAAAAGTATATTTGACTTACAAAGCAAATATAATAAGAGGGTTTGTTTTGTGCATTCATTCACTCACTCACTCAGAATGAACATTCACAGAGATTTGCAGGACCAGTGGCTCTGTGAATGGTTTATAAATAGTACAACAGCAAAAAGCAGTATAAAGCCATTCCATGTGCACCTTGCTTGAAAGCTGGTTTTGAGTTGATGAGTGCGTTTGCCATTAGTTTTTCTTGACTGATTTGGTGCAGTGACACACTGGGGGTCTCAGCTGCCGTTGTGATGTGCGCGGTCCCTTCTGTGCCCCTGTGCCTTTAAGGGGGTTGGGCTGCCTCTTGACAAACCTGCACCCAATTTTATCTTTTGCTACATGTGTTACAAGATGGAGACTCTTATAGGTTAGAGTTAGGACCGCACTACACAGAGGAGCCTTGACAAGGCAGTGTGGCTTTCACATTTTCTGCAGAAGACGTGTATCTAAAACCTCTGTTTTTTACCTTAGCGGTTAGACAGGTTTTTGTTTTTTTTGCATGCTGGCTGGTGAGCGTGCTGGGAAACTTTTTGCTGTTGTATTGTATCAAGCCTTTCCATGTGCACCTTGCTTTAAAGCTGGTGTTGAGTTGATGAGTGCGTTTGCCATTCGTTTTGCTTGACTGGTTTATAAATAGACCCCTAAGTAATTGGAAGCTTCTCCTACCAGAAGATGACGCAGAAGTTGTTTAAATGGATCTAAATGGACTAATTCTTGTTTAGGCTACTCAGACTCGATGCATCACTTGGATGGAACCATGTATGGCTTGCCATAGCTTTCTACACTTTATCAAATGAAGTCTAAAGTGGGTGTAAAGTGCATCTGTGTTCACTCACCTAGTATAGAAGCTGCCTTTTTTTTTCCAAATCCACCTGAGCGTGATTGGATGAATAAAATACACACAGGAGCACTTCTTTAGTAAATCAGACCCTATGGCGTTATATAAGACTTTAGGCTGACACATTCCTTCATAAGCATTTGCAATTTGAATGTTTCTGCGTCGTAATGTCCTTACCTTAGCAGAGCAGCAGTCAGCTTAGCTTCTCCCCTGTAATGCTGACATTTTCCTCTCTGCCAGCCAGCCAGAAAAAGCTCCTTTCATTTCTCCGAGCAGGCACTTGATAAACAAGTAGGACTTGGCAGTGATGTATTCTTTGAAGAAAAGTAGAAGTAAAACATTTCTCACACATTCAGCCATTTGTATGACATTTACTACCATACACATGCTGTTTTTCTAAAACAAAAACAACAATCTAATGGAAAATCTGATTTGGGTTTTAAAAGTGAGCAATTGCCAAATTCTCTTGTTTAACACCTTTAGCCTCAGGAAGAGAAATATGCCGCCCAGGAGTGTATTGAATCATGCTTTATAAGGGGTTTTCTTTTCTTCCTCTTGATGAACTGTGGGTAACTCTGGGTTTAGGGTTCTGTTTTTCTATTTATTCATTTTCTTTCTTCTGTTGGTTGAACTCAATGGACTTTTTTCAACCTGACTAACTATGTAACTATGTAAAGCACCTGACACCCTGAAATGTGTTGCCTCAGCTCAACCGGTCACCTCAGCTGACAGCACAACCTACATAAAGAATAGAGGAGGCTCGCGGTGCATCATGAGAACAGAACGTCTTCATGATTCAGACCTGCTCAGCTATGACATTCTAGGGTGGAGGCATGGCCATATGTAGCTCCAGATAGTTGAACTTCTTCCACATGTGTCTGACAGTCACTGGGTTAGAAAACATAAGAATTAAAGGTTTATTTAGTATCGCAATGAGCAAAGTGCAAAAATAGAAACAATTAAGTAATAATCTTTCTGACTTAAGCAAACATAATTCTGTCTGGTTGTTTAGTTCAGTCTTTCTTACCAAGGGTGCTGTCTGATTTTGTCAGAGTGCCTACGAATTTTTGCACGGCATCATTACTTTCCTTGGTGCATATGGACCAACCACCAGCTCCACAAAAATGCACAATGCTAATCCATGGAAGGCAACATCCCCCTCCAAATCAGGTGCTCTCCCTAGAGCTCTAAAGTGAAGGGAGGATCCTGATGTAAAGGTGGGATGCTGATATGAAAGAGGGGGCTCCTGGCAGGAAGAAGGGCTCTAATGTGAAGGGGGGCTCTTGCTGTAAAAGGGTGGAATCTAGAGTGAAGGGTAGGCCTTCTGATGTAATAGGGGAACCCCAATTTTTTTTTTTTTTTGCTGGGGTCCCAGCATAAAATCCACACGAGCACCCATGTAAGAAGGGTCAGGTGTAGGTCTTAGGGGGAACCACAAGGCAATTTTTGCATTTACATTTTTAATATGGAGTACCTAAAGCTTATGCTTACATAAAGGGTGCTGTGACTGGCAAAAGGTTGGGGAACACTGGTTTAGATGATACTTACATAGTTACACAGTTACATAGTATTTGAGGTTGAATAAAGACCCAGGTCCCCTACTTTAATCCAGCAAAACACACTAGAAGCAGATGGGTCTTCTCCTTTTCTGCTTTCTCCGATCCTCTCCTCTGAGAGGCTGGTGGTGTCTTTGGTGGCCAGGGATAGTGATCAAGGGCTTTCCTATGCTGAGCCTTTCAATGGCCGGCCCAGTCTACTTCACATGGTTTCTGAACCTCATTGGGTGAATTAAGTCTTATGAGAGGCTATTTGCAGATGCTGGAGTATGACATAACTAACGTGTACCTAAACCCTATCTGGGTGACATTTAGTTTCCTGGAGGACACTGAATCATAAACCTTTGTCATAATTTTTTATTTTAAAAAACACTTCACTAGGGTATGGTATTCACCCTTATTTCATCTCAGTGTCGCTCATCTCCTCCAGCCTCTACATGCATGTGCTCCAGCAGCAGCTTTATGCCACTGCTTGGGGTGTGTTTCCTCATGGTGACAACAGTGGATCATGCCTGTGCACTGAGCGTCAGTGCCAATACACAGTTATTGTTTATAGTGTTCATCAAAAGAGAATGTGGCTGGAGAACAACATAGGAGAACAGCTGGGAAACAGGGACACAGCATTGTCACCCTATAACAAGAAGTGCCTGAACAAAGGTTCTTGCAACTGGACCCGTGATGATGCCCATGAACTGTGGCACATCATTATGGAGTTGGCTGCAAGGACCAGGAACAGAGAGTCGACCCCTGATGATGCTCAGCAACGCATGCACCATAGAATACCCTGTGACTTCCAGGAAATGCCAGGAGGGGTCCCAATAAAAAAGTATTATGATTTTTTTTTTTAAAAAAGCTCGGGTAGTTTCATCACAGACCTTAATAGGAAAAATATATTTTTAAACAAGCTGATATAAAGCTAAAAGGCTTTAAACAAGCTTTTAGGACTACAATGTCCTAGGAGCCTGGTATTGCTGTGATTAATGCAAACCAGTGCTTTGTCCTTGCAGGGCCAAGCCACAGGTTTGCTTTAATCACGTCCCCAGGAGATTTCCTGCACTCCCTGGGAGCAAATAGATAACAGGTGCACAATGCAGTGCGCCGGAGCATCTTCTAGCTAGATTGAGGATTCTCAGGATCTTGGCCAAAGGTCCATGATGTCACCCTCGTCTGAGCACCCCAGATGGAAGCCATTTTAAGATAAGTATTTTTTGTTCATATTGTGTGTGTTTTTTTATGGAGGGCAGGGGTCCAAAGGACTTTACATTTTCATGCAAGGGTCACTATAAGAAGCTATGAAGAAGAAGAAGACCACACATCTGCCAATGCACACACAGTCCCCTATGGAGCTGTAGGTGTAGGAGGAACATGATGGGTGCAGACCAGTGGGAAGAGTAAGTGAATAGGAAGGGGGTGGGGTGGTCAGTTTTTAGGAGAAGGAGGGAAAAAAGGCTGGACAGTTTATGGTAAGTGGGTGAGCTTCATTGGGCCAAAATTGGGGGTAGTCATTTCAAAGCTTGGTGAGACGGGGAACCATTTTGCGATGAAAGAGCAAAGCGTGAGTAAGTACCACCTTCCCTCCCATTAGAAAGTAGGAGAAGGTTGATGTTCTGCTTAGTTAGTCTCCACAAATGTGGAAGCAGGAGGAAGCGATATACAGGTTATGGTTTAAGTGCAGGTGTCGATCCATACGTTTCACATGGATAACAAAGTTTATTGGATTGACGGGTCCCTGACAGTGCCATAATTTCTGATCTGGCTCTCCAGAGAAGAAAAAGGGACAGGAATATATGGGGTTGGAAGATGGTGGGGCTACTGAAGCTTAATAGCTTCCGAAGCAGGAAGTAGTGTTGAGAATAATTAATGGATGTGCCCATTTGGACTTGATTACAGGCGGCTCGTAGTCGGTACATGGTTATGAGATCATGATACACTCCTCCATAAGAGGGGAGTGTGGTATTTGGCACTCATCTAGGACCTAGACGGCACTGATTTTGCAGCTTAGTTGCACTTTACAATAACAATTATTTTGAATGATATGGGGTAATGTACTATTTTGTGAATGATCCGTTATTTTTATAGCAACTGTACATTGCTGTGGCCATTTATTTCCAATTTTCAGATAAAAATATTGTTAATTTAAATGTTGTGTAATGTCTTTGTTTTAGGTGGGGAGTGAAGGGTGCCTTGAGCTTGCACCCAGTCAAGTGGCCTAACTGTTAAATAGCTATCACTGGAAATAGGTATTAGCAACCTCAAGCACTATTTGGGACCCTTGGATCTGCCAGGCTATACTTTTCTTCACAGCTTCACTTTAATGACTGTGAAATCGGGTATTATTATTATACAGGATTTATATAGCGCCAACAGTTTGAGCAGCGCTTTACAATATAAGGAAGACAATACAATCACAATACAATTCAAGACAAGATGGTAAGGAGGGCCCTGCCCGTGAGGGCCTACAATCTAAAAGGGAGGGGGGTATCTCTGGTATCTGTCATAACATGCACTAAACGTAGTTGTAAAGTTACATAATATACAGTCCAGTCATAGAAGCAAACTCAATTGAAAGGCAAAGGTCAATCAAAATATCTACAGCTCTCGTATCACAACGTCATACAACATTAGTAGGTGTTGTGCCCATATTGAGGGATTTTGCAATGTTTTATAATAGTTACAGGAGAATTGACAGCCTGACATCCAATCACAATGGTTCCTTCTCAGTACTTAGAATCCAGCACCTCTCATTTCTCCCTTTCCAATGAAGGCAGCACTTGCTTTGCTTGTATACAATGTCTGATCTTGGAAGAACTGATTTGTGTTTTTTTTCAGTCTGTTGTGTTCTTGTCCATTTTCCCTATAACATGTGACCCCCAATTAGTTGCCTGATTGGTTTTTGGCCATTTTCCCTATAACATGTGACCTATGATTAGTTGCCTGTTTGGTTTTTGACCATCTTTCTTATAACATGTGACCCCTGGTTAGTTGCGTGTTTTTTTCCGGCCATTTCCCCTATAACATGTGACCCCTGGTTAGTTGCGTGTTTTTTTCCGGCCATTTCCCCTATAACATGTAACCCCTGATTAGTTGCTTGTTTGGTTTTTGACCATCTTTCTTATACATGCAACCCCTGATTATTTGCCTGTTTGGGTTTTGTCCATTTTCCTATAACTTGTGACCCCTGATTAGTTGCCTGTTTGGGTTTTGTCCATTTTTCCTATAATATGTGACCCCCGGATTAGTTGGCCGTTTATTTTATGGCCATCTTTCTTCCAACATGTGACCCCGATTAGTTGCCTAGCTAGATTTCTCTATGTTATTTTTGTAATGACAGAAGCTGTACCAACCCCCTTTACCTGTACCCCCTGCCACACATATGTTCAGTTTTTATGTGGATGTACAATTGATGTTGTTTCCTGACTGATATAGATTCACTCCGCCTGGCAGGACTTCAGTGCAAAATTAAAAGCAGCCCAGCATAATGCCTTCCATGTGCAGAGCAGATTCAACCTTCACATTTTGTTCTAGAAATCCTGCTGCTAAATTGAATCCTCATTTCTGTATATTGATATTTTTATTCATAAGATGCCATCTTTAAAACGTGTTATATCATGGGAGTTGCAATTGCTGACCTCTCTTTCTGAAAAATCCTAGTTGCCTGGCTGCCATGCATATGGTGAATCTTTCAGGAAATGTACAAGTCAGCATAACGTTATTTTTTATATGTGACAAA